ACGTGGACCTACGAACACGCCCGAGCCCATCCCTATCAGTGACAGTACTGCGGAGTATGTACCTCATACGTTATATAGCCACACACTTTAAATCCAATTCTTCTAGTTCCAGCTGCAGAGCCCGGTCCTGTCTTTGCCTATAGCAGTGGTTCTCAACCTGTGGGTCGCTGTGCAGGGTGAGAGTACTCCTCAGCTCTCTCCTAGCGCAGCAGTGTCAGTTCTCCTGCCACGCCTCCAGATGTCGCTGCAGCAGCCGCGTCATCGTTAAATTTTACCTTTGGGGGTCACCACAACTTGGCAAATGTTACCAAGGGGTCCCGGCCCTAGAAAGGTTGAGAACCACTGCCCTAGAGAAATGTATTTTGTATTAGGTTTAGATATTCAACAGCAAAGTGTTCCCTGAAAATAGGTGTAAACATTGGCGGCAGCAGTATGTTGAAGTGTTATTGTTTTGGTGCTGGTAATTTTTTACTGTGTAGGCGATTGAAGATTACCACTTATTCTAGGGGAAAAAAATGGCCTTATGATCTCTATCCTACTACAGTGTGTTTAACACCAAAAGATTCCTTTAGTTTTGGATAAAGCGGGAAAGTACTGAAACCCCGGTCAGGCTTTTATTACTGTCTCTGTCTCCAGTGGAGAGATTCAGCCTACCTGATAGGGGAAGTCTTCCAATAAGGACACTTAGTTAGGGAAAACTCTCTCAAAGGCATGCCGGTGAAATACTGTCCAGGTGGCAACCCTAAGCCATCATATATAATTATGAAATCAGATTATTCCTGAAATCAAAGTCAACTTAAAAAAGGAACCCATGCATTGTCCTTTAGGACCAGTCCCTGCTGAACACCGAGACACAGCACCACAGATACAGCATACAGCATCATTGGTTTTTATCGGGTGGTGTGGTGGACATGTGATCATCCTTCCTACACATTCCTAGTGTTGTGGAACATCACAGGAGGAAAAGGGTTACATTACTGCAGAAGTTGTCCTGGATTGTGAGCTTTGCCCTCCATCTTGGGAAAGTGTCTTGTTGGGACACATTTTTCTCACAAGGGGAGTTCTTAATGATGCTCCTGTGGAACATTGCTAGGGGAGATAGGAGCCACAATGTGGAGTCATGTGATGCAACACATGGTTGTAATCTCATTAGTCATCCAGACACAAGCCAAGGGGCACAAAAGACATGGCTGTAGAGGTTCACTTTAAGCCAACCCTGTCACCCTACAAAATATTTTCAAGCAAGCCATAAGGAGAAAGTAAATACTCACTTCTGCTGCCCGTGGCTCTGAACTCCATGGCAATGCTGAGAAATGTTTAAGGTCTATCTGGAATCCAACAGGGGTGTGTTGAACTTCTGGGTTCCTCGCAGGTCTCACTGGTTCCTCCTTCTGACCTCCACCCATAGTTAGATAAAGCAAAGATATGGAACTCAGCTGGAGGAACCACTGAGAGCATTGAGGAACCCAGGAGATTGACACTCCTGGAAGTGTCGCTTTCAGAACAGACTTCAGGAGCAGATATCTCAGCATTGGAGTAGAGTTCTGCGGTGTGGGGAGCAGCAGAGGTAAGAAAGTACGATCTTCCTTTAAAGGTGGGGCTTGTTTGAAAACATTTTGCATATTATGTGGTCACTTTAAGACTGTGTCTATAAAATGTTGGATTCAGCAATAATAGGCCTGCTTTTATGGGAGTGCCTTGGCACACTCAGAGTCAGTTGTTCTATGCAGCAGGGCAGGGTTGCCCATACAAAACATATTCATTTTTTTGCTGACAAGAGCACAAGAAAACTGCATACAGCTAACAAATGTTTAGAACATCCTGGCATAGCCACACTTCTTTGGCCCACGGTGACAGTATGTTGTAATATCACAGTGGTTAGCACTTCTGTCTTGCAGCACTGGGGCTCCCCGGTTTGGAACCCTGGTCAGGACAGTGTCTGTAAGGAGTTTGCACTTGCCTGGGTTCCCTCCCAAGACATGCCGGATTGTGAAATAGGGACCTTAGATTGTAAGCTCCTTGATGACAGGGACTGATGTGGATGAGCAGCATGTAAAGCGATGTGTACATTGTCAGCATTAAATTGAAATAAATATATATTTGGCTGCGGTTCTTTGTCAGTATTATTGTAGGAAGAATATTACATATTAGTCACATGATATTGTTTGCAATATAAGCAACAATTTAACAGCACTTCATCACTCTTAAATTGGCTGTGAGACGTATAGAGACCTTCCCACTGTTGGGAAATGATCGCCAAATACGGTCAGTAAACACATCAGATTACCAAGATTTAAAAAAAGGCTCAGTTTGCTAAGTTATAACTATCATTATTTGCAATCAGCAATGACAGCCAACACCAAGTAGAATTGAAAGTCACATAGATGAAAATAACAATTGTTACGGCAATTAACACATGCATTGTAGCTTTGTGAATGTGAACGATTGGCTCACACTCAGGGCCGGATTTACTCTCTCTGCTGTCCCAAGGCCAAGTTAGCCGCCTGGCAGAGGGAGGAGGGGACGTTTACCTGGCGGGATAAGGTATGCCTCCGGGTCCCCTCCTCTCTCCTGAAACTGTCAGGCTCTCAGTCCATGACCGAGTGCACGACATTTCAGAGGGGCTGACACCAAAATGACTGACAGTCATTTTGGTGTCACCCCTCCAATGGTGTCACCCAGGTGCAGGCCGCACCCCCCATGTGACGCCACTGGTGCACAGAAAGTGACAAGGACACAGGATTTCTGGCAGGATCGACAGGCTATTTTTTATGTACTTGTTGAAAATTGCTTAGCCTGAAAAAAGAAAACGAATGTGGACGGCACATCTAACGACTGATAAGTTGCAATATATGAAGTTTCTGTTCTGTGTTTCGATCTCCTTTTTTAGACTGGAAGGTTGCAATTAGGAGAAGTTCACTGTTTATGATTTACATACACCTTAACGCAGGGGTGGGCAACTCCGGCCCTCCAGCTGTAGTGGAACTACTAGCCCCATGAGGCAGTTGCAGGCATGGCTCCCAGAGGCAGAGGCATGATAGGATTTGTAGTTAAAGCACAGCTGGAGTTCCGGAGCTGCCCACCCCGGTTTAACAGTACCTAAGGCCATTTTGCATTAGTGATGGAGTGATAACTTTTGTAGAGTTTGTGCCAAATCTGAGATCAGATGACGGAGGTGTGGAGGTGATGGCACAAACAGATGGTGTAGGTGTCAGTTATACCCCTCTCATGTCAAATGTTCCTCAGTGACACTAGAAATGACAGATTGTGTGAAAACAGAGTGTGAGGAAGTGCAAGCAATATGTTGAGCAAGCCAAGACTTCGACAGGCAACTGATTATCCTTCTGACCACAGGAAATGCCTTTCTTTACACAGGATTGTGCAGTCACACAGATGAAGCACATAGACACCAAAAAGGCCTCTCAGTGTCACATTGCCTGTGGCGGCTCCTCTCCTGGACTGAAACTGCTTACTATGATTTCACTGCACACTGCAAGCTTCTCATAATGTGCATTAGGAGCCGCAGCAAGTCAGATAGAGCCCACCTCATTTCCTGGCTGGAGGACGTCCACTTTCATCTAGTTCTTTCCTCCAAGCCTGGCTGTCCTTGGTCCGCCCCTTTACATTCATTGGATTTAAGTCCTTTCAATCATGGAGGCTCAGCATCACATGTGGTTATTACCTAGGGCAATCTGAATGCAAATGCATCCTGCCTAGGAACCGCCAATGGCGTCACAAGGGGGGTGGGGGATGTGCCGGCTTCTCCCACCAGCAGTGATCTGCCTGCATTGCACCGAGAAGCACAGAGGCCCAGTGATGACATTAAAACAATTTTTTTTTTTTTATGAATTAGCATGTTGACAAGGGGGAGGGAGGTACCTGGGGAGGCAAAATATAAGCAGAATAGACCTCAGCTTAACAAGGTTCTGTGACTAGTCTGTTTCTACAATTCTGTTTGCTGGAATTATAAAGTAACCTTTAAGCCCATTTGTAGACAAATTGTTGGGGGGCGATATAGCAGGGGAAGGAATATAAATTCTGTCCATTTTTGTTATGCATGTAACAGAAGGACAAGAAAACTGAGGAATGGGGGATCAGCCTGACTGGAAGGTAAAATTAGTAGTAAACCGTCACAATTTCGTGTCACTTTCTGTCTACCCCTGTTATTACCCCTGTTATTGGGAAAGGAAGTAAGAGGACATCAAACATGAGAGAGGTTTTTACCATGTCTGCCCCCACTATAGAGACTTCCCTTACCTTCCTGTTCTGGCAACACCATGTCACAGGGATGGGAATTAAAGGGAAACGTTCCCAATGGGTACACGGACAGAAATGAAGCCTTACAGAATATTTGTGGTTGGTATTTGTGTTTAAGCAAAGCCTAGAATGGATTTACCGTTCCTTGAAAGCAGCAATAGAACCCTCATCCTGCTGTTTCTTTTTTTGTTCATAGAGCACCAATGTATCTGAATGGCCCAAATGCAGCGCCACCTATCACCAGAAGGTGGCGCTGTGGTGACCTGTGAAATGGCATCTGTTGCTAATGCCCCTACTCAAGAGGGGCAACAATCTATGGATCACGCTTGTGTTGGATGACTTGATTGGTTACATTCTCATGAATCTCTCAGATGTTTTTCTGTAATGAATCATCTGTATTCAGATGAAACATCTATTGTCTGCCACATACAATGCTGTTTTAACACCTCTCTCTAGGCAGGTTAATAACACCTCCTAGCTCCAATTATGCAAATGCAATCAACACCTGCTTGCGACTAACAGATTATGTGGATTGGAGCGACATTCACCATATTTATTCCCAGAAAATTTTTGTACAAGTAATTCTGAATTGAGAAAGCTGGTCGGATAACCAGTGAAACGCCTTCAAGAAAAATACAGCAAGTCCAGTTGCCTTGACTTATTTTTGACAGACATACCATAACCTGGATAAATGAGAACCTTCACAGACATCTGTATTCAGTTATGTATCTTCTTTCTTGCAGGCACACCCAGAAGAGCTAGTCACCTATGAACCAGAGAATTATCGTCCCCACCACGAATACTACCCCTATCTCAGTGACAATGAGAGCCACGGTAACTATGAGATACTTCCACCTGTTATTGCTTAGATGGAATATTACAAGTGAACGCCTCATGTCATGATATAAGGCCAAATATAAATGTGTACCTATAGACCCCTCTATCTGCTTATTAAAATGTGCTATACCATTCATGCAGATCACTTCCATTTGGTTCAGTGATGATAAACTGGCACATTGTAAATAGAAGACAAAGCTTTTTGTGAGTTTTCTAAAAAATTATATTTTTGCCATTACCACCATTGTGATAATGTTTATTGCCGTTAACACCCAGTATTACCACCGCAAATGTTTGTATGCCTGAGGTTTTAGGTTAGTGCTAGGGAATCCATCGAGGCTATGGGTTGACACCAGAGATTTGAAGTTAAGGGTTAATTTTTGGAGTTTAGATCGGGTTAAGGATAAGGTTAAATGAAATATGCACATATAGGCAGAATACAGATATACTGTATCTCTAGACTCCTTGGCTGATTGGAGATCTCTAGCTCCAACTCATCAGAGGGCATGTAGAAACTATGTAGAGAGACCACTGCTTCCACACAGAGGGCCTGTTAGCTTGCATAGTCTATGGTAGTCTATGGAGAGCAAGGCTTGACCTTCACTGAGAAGTTTTTGGTTGCCTGGAAGCCCAGAAAACAAAGGGCTTGAAGAGGACATGGCCGTAGTATTATAGTAAGTATATAGATAGGGAAACGAGTACACAGGCTTTGACCTTCAATGAGAAGTTTTTTGTTGGCTGGAGACCCAGAAAATAAAGGACTTGAAGAAGACTTGGCTGCGGTGTTAAAGTGTTCTGTAGTCCTAAGACACTTCCTGTCCTAGGGTGACAATGCAGCTCCCCCATAGATAAAGTACTGGAGTAAACATTGTCACCCTAGGACAGGAAGTGTGTCAGTAGCAGCATCACCAGGTGAAAATAAAGGAAATAGTGCCTGAAAAAAAGAAAACTCATTCAGCCATCACATCTAAGATCTGGTAGGCTGCAATATATTACGTTTTTGTTCTTGGGTTTATAGACACTTTTAAAAGTGAAGTATCAGTGGATTGACCCTTTAAGGGCACAGTGAAACTCTTGACCAATTAGTCAGTTGAGGTGATAAAGGGCAAATGCAAAGATGGCCAGCTTGGCTTGGAGGTGATTGGGGGTGAACAATTGAACAATCGATGGTGATCTCCACCATCTCATATTGCTCTATGTTTAACTCTTTTCTGAAGGACATTTTAAAGATACTGAACAAGTGCTAACCCTATATTAGTTTCCATTTCAGAGCATTATTGGGAATACCCCATATCTACTCACCTGCATGGCGAACTTGATGGATTTCCCGACTCACAACTCACAGAGTTGCAGAGCGTACAGCAACCACAACTTCAGCAACTGTACAGACACATGGAAATGGAACAATTGCATGTCCTGGAGCCTGGAATGGCCACAACACATCCACACCTCCAGCTGACACACCAGGTAACTGCTCCATAGTGCTCGTTAGGCAGAGCAATTATAAATGCACATGATGCCATTGGAACATCATGTAGGGTATGATTTTAAAATTAATTTATAATTATTCTATTTGTTAAGCAATATGATACATTTGAGTTTTATGTTCAGTCATATCATCATATTTAGGAAATACAGATTTGCTCCAAAGAGGAGTTTTTTTATTAGTGCGAATTAATAGGGAAAAGAGAAACACTGTCACCCACTTTTTATCATGGTATACTACAAACTCTACAACATTTTGGTCTGCCCCAGGTCTTTTAATATTCTAAATAAAGCCCCTGGCCCCAGCCCTGCATAATACAAAAACACTGCAGGAGGTAAGGGGGTCCTATAAGGCAACGTTGTTAAAACTGTACCTACGCTTTAAAGCCCGATTCTAGTTTATATCACCTAAATACCTTCCAGGTGCATCAAAACAAAAGGTGTGCATAGTATTACAGTTCATTTTCTTTACAAAGCAGCCACATCCTGGGTAGAATAGACTACCAGTGTGCTACAGCAAAATACACTTGCTCTCTGTACGGAAGCAGCGGTTTCTCTGCAGAGGTGCAACATGTCCCCCCTGGTGAGCTTTAGGTCTGACTCATCCATTTATGATTTTATTAAACATTTCTATGTACATGATTGAGCATTCCTTGCAGAGTGCATTTTAACTCTGTTTCACCTCATTCAAGAGTAAACAAGAATCAGGGTTTATTGGTTTATTCTGGCACTACTGACCAACATCTACTGTCAAGGGTCTTCTGAAGACCTGTTTATTTATTATACAGATGGTCATAAATATGCCTCCAAAATGATTATGCTCTTTTGCAGGTGTCCTTCGTACCTCGCGTGTGTGTACAGTTCCAGTCTCCAGCACCACCCAGCTCAGAGGATGATGACCATGAAAGACGAAGCCCCCCTCTGGAAGTATCAGATGGAGAGCTAGACCCGCGAGACTCAGGTTATGGGACACTTCTTGGAGAGCCAGGTCTGAAGCATACGTTGTGATAATTATATTTAAGTAACTGGTTAAAGTTCCGATAAATTGATCCATAATAGAAATACACGATACACGTTTATATGCAATGGCTCAACATACTCCAGACTGTAGAATTTTTGTGGGCAGTAAGCATTTTGGTAAAAGAGTTTATAGAAGGGGACGGTGGAATGGACTGAAGACACACTTACTGGTGAAATCTTAATCTATAGAACAATTTAAAGTGTATGCAAAGTCATCGTTATAATTTTCTGGATAGAATATGGAAGGGCTAGAGCCTTTGTCAGATTTGTATCACTTTCTTTGTTCCTATTGGGTAGATTCATACTCACAATTGGTCCTGGTGACCATTGTACAGAAAGTGACAGGAAATCTAATATGTTTGAGTTTTCACAGGATTAGGAGATGGAAATCTTTCAGTGGGGCAACCTGTTCCGGAAACAAGTTTCTAATGGGGGACATACCCTCAATTTGGACAGAACTCCTTTTACCCCTCCCTTTACTTGCTGTGGCTCTGGGACAGGAAGTGAAGGGAAAAGAAAATATATCTGACAGGACACAGACAGAAAATAAATAATTCCCTATCATATTCAAAACCAGGATAAAGGTTTTAGCTTTACATATACTTTAAAAAGTACAAGGGGAAGTGAGTGCGCTAAACATACTTCAAAGGTAGAGATGCTTCCTCTGGGAGTTCAGCTGTGTGCAAGTTCCCCCAAGAAAACAATCTAGAAGTAAATATACACTACAAGGCCAAACGTTGGTGGACACCTGACCATCACACCTATATGACCTTGTTGGACATTCCATTGCAATGCCATGGACAATAATATGGAGTTGTGCCCTCCTTTGTGGCTATAACACAACTAATGTGGGGTCCATTTGTGAGGTCAGGCACTGATGTTGGATGAAGAGACCTGAGTCACAAATGAAGTACCAATTCATCACAATGGCAGTCAACAATGTTGAGTTCAGGGCTCTGTACAGGACATTTGAGTTCCTCCACACCATATCCATCAAACCATGTCTCTATGGAGCTGGCTTTCTGCATAGGGGAAAAGTCATGTTGGAACACAAAAAAAATCTTCCCCAACCTATTGCCATAATGTTGGAAGCACACAACTGTCTAAAATGTCTCTGTATGCTGTAGTACTAACAGCAACCTTCACTGTAAACACCCAACTTCAGTATTTTGGAGGTGTATCCACATAATTGTGGCCATATAGTGTATATCTTTGCTAACTAATATATATTTCAACAGTGATTCCAAGAATTTCTTGAAAGGTGAAATAAACTTTAAGATCACAGCTTGCAGTTGATTTAGGAAATGTAGAAATCATTAGGCCTTTGCCTTTATTTACTTAAGGTAATAATGAATTACTAATTAGTGTATTAATGTATTATTAATTATTAGTGCATCAATGTATTTACTTTGAATGTATTCATTTCTGCAGGCAATAAGAAAAAGATCAGATTATACCAGTTCCTTTTAGAGCTACTTCAGAGTGGAGACATGAAAGAGAGCATCTGGTGGGTAGATAAAGACAAAGGGACATTCCAGTTCTCCTCCAAGCACAAAGAAGCTCTGGCCCACCGCTGGGGTATCCAGAAAGGCAACCGCAAAAAGATGACCTATCAGAAAATGGCTAGAGCCCTGCGCAATTATGGCAAGACTGGAGAAGTACGAAAAGTCAAGAAAAAGCTGACCTATCAGTTTAGTGGAGAGGTTCTGCTCAAAATGTACAATTCAAGAAAGCACTTTCATCACTGAGCCAGTCCATACATCTACTCGTGCATCGCCAATGTGCCTTTTCCTCAATTTTTGGTACGAAAGACTTCAAAGTTTTCAGAAAGGAAGAGAAATGCAGTGTAAATATTATTAATATTATAGTAATTATTCTATATTTTTGGTGGTTTAGTGACAAACAAGCACACTACCACTATCTGAAATGACGTATGGACGAGGGATCCAACAGTGTTTTTTTTTTAAATGTCAGCATTATTATGGATCTAGACTGTGTTTAGCATTGACCTGAGAAGACCAGAGACTTCGATATTGACCAGCCTGAATTAGCAATTTCGCACAAGAAGCAAAATATTTGAATGAACAATTTAAAGCTCAATTGAGCCTTCAGTTTAAATAAACTAAATACGTTGCAGGTGTATCAGAACAAAAGGTGTGCAAAGTATCATGGTTCATGAGAAAGCAGCCGTGGCCCGAGTAGAAAAGTCTGTCCCCTGCGAGCATGCTGCAGAGAAGGACCTTTGCTCTCTGTGGGGAAGCAATGGTCTCTTTGCAGAGGTCTGACATGCCCCCTGATGAGTCAGACCTATGGTTCTCCAATCAGCAAAGCCCATGCTCCCTGCTGATTGGAAAGCTCTAGTTCTGACTCTACAGGGAGGGTGCATAGGACCTCTGTAGAGAATCTACTGCTTTCACTGAAAGCAAGGGTCCTTTTCAGAAGCACTTTGGCAGGGGACAGGCTTTCTACTCTGTGGCTACTTTCTAAAACTAAAAACAACAAACGGTAGGGATTTGCACACCTTTGGTTTAATGCACATGAAATGTATTTAGATGATTTAAACTTGAAGTTCAATTGGGCTTTGATGCTATCCAGGAAAACTTTCCACTATGCTAAAGACAAGAGGTCTTCCGCAATCTAGGTTTTATGAAATCACTTCCCTGCCAGAACAAGTTACTTACAACGGTTTTGAGTTGGACTTCTGCCTTGTTCCATTTTATTTTTAGACTTTTCAAAGGTGCCAAAACTACCAGTTTCTAATGTATATGTTGTTGAACTCCAACTAAAGCTAATGGATTGAGTGGGGATGGGTTTAAGCCTACGTCATATGCTTATTGCGGTTTGTGTCCCCATAGACAGAGATATACAGTATATAGGCAGTCATTAGGCCCTGATACCAGAGGCATGTGTGCCACGCCTCCTGCTGAGCGCCCCTGGTCTTTGGACCTGCAACTGCTGCTCCTGTAATCCCTCTGTCATTCCTCCTCCTGCACACCTACTTTTGTTGCTGAGTACTCATCTCTTCCTAGAGTGGTCTACCGTCTACCTGGCTTTTGAGTGGCCACAACCTGCTGTCAATTAGATGTTTGGGCAGGGGTAGGGTGACAGTTCAGTCATGCAAAGAAGAGATTGTCAAGGCAAAGGTGTGTATGTGTGTGTATTTGGGGGCTGCAGAGAGGTGGCGTTGTAGTTATGTATTGCCTGGTCTCCAATCCATATTAGAAAGTGTTTAGCGTTGCTTATCTTTAATCATTAATATATATTACAAATTCAATTGAACTGCTTTACTGATCTCTGTTTATTATTCTCCATCCATAGGAATGTTACATATTACATTTCCCAGTCAGTTCTACCACACAGTTCAAATAACATTCTTCTTAAAGCTGAATTTGAGGCAAACCGCTAAACACAAAGATGAGATACATGTAAGGGAGCTGTTTTACTTGCCAGAGGAATTGTGTTTTTGTCCATTAAGTGCTGAGATGTACACAGCTCTATCCCACGGCACAACTCTGTCTGGCAGGAGAGGAGACCTGACTTTTCTCTGCTGCAGTTAAGTAACACTTACAGGTCTTGTTCCTCCCCCAGCCTGTGATTGGACAGTAAAAGAAGAAGCAGGAGATTGATGAGCTCATCTCTCTGTCCCCTTCCTCTCTCCGTCTATCAGCATGCTCCTAGTTAGCACATGAGCGCTGCAGCACAACCGATTGTCTTCCTATTCTGCCCATTCTTCTCCTAGACTGAGTTCTGCTGTACAGGGACTGTAAGAGGCTGATACTAGGTCAACTTTAGGTGCTGGCATTACAAATGTACATTTTCTGATGTAATAATGAATACAGAACTGCATTACTTTATGTCTTCATGTCCCTCGAGTTCAGGTTTAAAGAAGACCATACAAAATTACAGTATTTCCTTTCATTCGAGTACATCTATGTTATGATGAAAAAATGTTCAAGGCAATATTGCAGACCATGAGATTATGTGACTCAGCAGCAATGTCTCAGGAAGTTACCTTGGTCAATGTGCAGTAATTCGCACTCTAACTGTAACTGTAACACCATCCTCCTTTGAAAACCATCTAGTTGTCTGCTTTCAATGTTTTTGGAGTCACTGACCCCGATCACGCATGTGTCAAGTGTTAAAAATCCAGATCTACTCATCTCTTCCACTCTTCTGGGAAAGTGAGTCGAAAAATTAGAAAATCCCTGAATCAGCATAACAACCAGACAATTATCGTAAAAAGAGGTAACCATTGTTGGCCTCTCATAATAGGTTTCCTTTAAAGTGACTCTGTTGCTTCCACAAAAAATACAGCCTAACGTCCTCTATTTCGGCATCTGTCTGGCAATATGGCCTTTCTCTGTAATACTGCCGATCTGTGCAATATGGCAGCTCTTCCTTCCTTGCAATATTCTACCTTCAATGCTACCATCTTACAAAACTGGAGTCAATTTGCACTAGACATGCCTGTCATAATATAAAATTTTATTATCTAGTTGTTCTGCTGACAGCCTATCCTAGAGGTTTGATCAAAACCCAGCAGCGGCCATTGGTCTTACCTAAAGCTTGCAAATTATGTAAAGACCTGATAAGGTGATTTTGTATGTCCGAAAACATGTTGGATTTTTGGTAAATATTACTGATTAAAGCATCTGCCAGCAATAAAAACCTTGTTTTGTTCCTGATTCTAGATAGGTGTTGCTCCAGAGTGGTGGGCTCAACATCTCTACTCCTCCAGTCAATGCAATATGGCTGCTGGTACTTGCAATATGATCTCTCTTGACAATATTACACTCTTTTTGCTACTATCATTGACACCTGTTCTCAATTTGGCCTAGGCTTGTTTGCTATAATGCCATGTATGAGATTTGAATACAACACTGCTGCTTAGAAGCATAGGCTATTTACCATGTCCTGTTTAATGCCATCCATAGTACTTCTGCTGTGTGTGCACCACAACTTCTCATTCTCAAAAAGGCATCTAGGGTTAGCTGAGTCTTTTGGGAGTCTAGAAACACCCCTGCTCTTTGTCCTGGAGACAGTGATCATTATGAAAGATTATCCTTGGAGCTGTTGAAACGTCACATGTAAAAGTTGGGATCTCCCCTTACTATGGTTGAGGTTTCTTGAGTGGAATTGGGAAAACAGACAGCAGTCTGAAATATGATTTAACCCTTCACTAGGCTAGCCAACTTTTTTGGACCGGACTTCTACTAAAGTGATAAAGTGATTTCACATGAATGACATATCAAGGAACATTTTTTTCATGGACTTCAAACTCTCTTCTTTTCTCCACCAGCACCACCAGGATAGTTCTCAACCTATAAAAGCCACTCACCAGGCTAGCCAGACTTTTCTGCTGATTTCAAAGCCACATTATATTGGTGGGTCCAAAATAAAGGCAACGTGCTGCTCTTGAGCTGTCTGCTTATTCACAAGCAGCAAGAAACAATAGAAGGGTGCAGCATTGTAAACTACATTCTGTAGAATGGAGCAACTTTTTTCTTTTAAAGAGGAAGGTGCAGGGAATGTGGAAAGTGACATATATATTAAAATTCTGTCGATTTTCCCATAATCACTAACTGTGCTGCCACAGTATCCTGTTTATTTTATTAATTTATAGTTTTTCTATGTTCCACTGTAACTTCCTCTGTTTTGTTGTAGTTTGACCAGCCCTTAGCTAGATATTGCCTTTTACTCCATGCTCTAGAATTAGTGTCTGTTTAATCCAAGTAGAGTAGAAAAAAGCTTTAGGGAATGGCTTTTTACCATACAAGAAAGGTCACAAAAATCCATGAATGTGTTAAGTTGGAATAAACCGCATCGGATTTTACTTTTTAGTCTTCTTGGTGAGTTGAACTGTCTGTGGATCTTGTCGAGCCAGCAAGCGACTATACTGTCCATGCAGACTGAGTCTTAGGAGGTACATCTTTTGCATAAAGCGACATTTGAGGCAGGACGCTAACAGCAAGAACTGAGGGCTGGGTTTTCAGTAGTTATGTGCAGAGCAAACCCTTCTTCCATTGTATAGTAGGAGGGTTTTACACGCAATCCTTTCTGATGACGTCAGGGTAGGGGCTGGAGGTGAATGATCAGGGGTGCATATAATTAGAATGGAAATGGGCAGGCATCACTAGAACAGGGCTATGTATTGTATGTACTGCATGCTGCTGCTATTTTCAGACAGAAAGAGTTGGACATGTTGGGCTCCTGTGATTATGCATTGTAGACCCAGGGAGTTCACAGAGGATAAGATACTCATGGCCATAGGAACTGGAAGAGTGGAGTGGCCTGGTGAACAGAATGAATGTCCCAATAAACAACTGGGATTCACTTAAAATGTCCCTGCCCATTATCTTTTAACCAATTGCACATGGAATTTCAGAATGAAAATATTATATACTCCAAATAAAGAATGCTCTTAAAACAACAATATCACAAGATCTAAAGGTATCAAAGAGGATCAAAACCTTTAAATAATTTTATACTCACCTGTCATGCCAGCCAGACACACTTCAAGATCTACAATTCTGAGCGCATCCTCTCCATCCAACACACTTTCTCAGGGGTGGGCAACTCCGTCCTTCCAACTGTTGTGGAACTACAAGTCTCATGAGGCATTGCAAGACTGACAGTTACAGGTATGACTCCAAGAGGGAGAGGCATGTTGGGATTTGTAATTAAAGCACAGCTGGAGGGCCGGAGTAGCCAATCCCGTCACTATCTGGTATGTTGGATGGCTGGTCCACCACCCAACACTGTCGATCTTTCCTTCTGCCGGCTCCTATGTTACTTCAAGACACTGTAAAGATGTAATGGCCAGTGGATAGAAACACAGCACTCAGCCATGTTTTATATGAATAAACCTGTGCTCTACAAACAGAAAAAAGAGACAGGGATTTAATTACAAAATGTTCAAATAAAAATGTAACTAAACCCAAGAACAAAAATGTAATATATTGCAGCTTACAAGCCTTTAGATATGGTGGCTGCATTTAAATTTTTTAGGCTAAGAACATTTTAAGCAAGAACATACTTACTTGTCTAAAAATACTGTAAAATACTTGTACATCTGAACTC